GTTTATTATTTTCTCAAAGACCTTGCAAAGACAGCTGGTTAACGCTATTGGCCTGTAGCTGGAAGCTGAGGACGGGTCCTTGCCTTGTTTTAGAATTGGGATAACGATAGCTTCCTTCCAGGCTGAGGGTAGCTCGCCAGAAAACCATATCGCATTTAGGGGCGGATTCAGCCACCCATTTCAGGGGGGGGGGGGGGGGCGATCCCCCCTACCACCCACCCTCTGGATCCGCCACTGATCGCATTATACAGGGAGAGGAGAGCTTCTTTGGTTTCAGTGGGCAGGTGCCCATTTCATATGCCCCACGGTCTGGACCTGGGGTAGATTTATTGCAGCAGCGTAGCGATGCTTGTAGTTCAGCTAAGACGAATGGTACATTGTATGCCTCAGTGTTTCTAGACTTGCATTCTATTTTTGGTTTTTTATATTCTCTCTTTGTATCTTTGGAATGCTACACTGTAATGGGATGAGCTGGAGATCTGTTAGAAACGACCCCGAGAGTGTTCGCCTGGTCTTCCAAACTCTCCCCTTCTGTGTTCACTAGGGGAAGTGAGTGTGCTTGTCGTCCTGCCACCTTACCAACCATGTTCCATAGTCTCACCTCATCTGTGTATGAATTGATTCCCCGATAGAAATTTGTACCAACTTTTCCTTCTCGCCTGTCGGCGCATTCTCCTGCCTTGTACCTTAATGTTCTTAAAGTTTATAAGATTCTCCGACGTCGGCGAGTCTCTAAGCAACTTCCATGCCTTGTGTTTTTTGCATGCATTACGGCAATCTTTATTCCACCATGGGACTCATCAATTGGCTGACGGTCCGCATGTTTGTGGAATACATTTCATTGCAGAATCAATAAAAAAAAGCTGTGACGTACACGACAGCATCCTCTATGCTTAACGCCCTCATATGAGTCCAATTTAGGAGTCATTCAAGACTAGCTTCAACAAGCGGTAGAAGTCATGCCAGACTATGCTCGATGGGGTGCTCTAAACTTGAGCTCCAAACAAGTCTGAACTCCTCGTCTTTCGCGGCCGCCGTAAAAATCCCGCACCCCACATCAATGTACTCGTTGAAGGAACACCTATCTCGCAGGTAGAGCGAGCACGCATCCTAGGACTTTACGTTGAAGCACATGGCAGGGCACGACACACCTACTCCATACTCTCCCACCAGACGCAGCAGATCATCGCTATGTTCCGACACGCAAGTAATAGATGCTTGGGACTTGGGGAGCAGGCCATGCTTTGACTAGCGGATGCGTGTATTGTAAGCCACTTCAGTTGTCACCTTCCGTTTCCCGGGCTGACGCAAGGACAACATGAACGGGTAGACACACTCATTCGTAAGACCATCAAAGTCACCCTGGGTGTTTTGCACTGTACTTCTACGCAATGCGTTTTGTCACTAGGAGTGCACAATACCCCCAATGAAGTACTCGAGGCCCAGTGGATTAGTCAGCCCCAACGCCTTCATCTCACACCAACGGGTAGACACGTACTTTACCACCTGGGTCACCCCGTCCCCCGTGAACCTTTAGAAACGCAGGGTACTTCTGTGCCACTCGAAATAGCTCTAGCGAATCGCGTACATCCTCTACCACGCAACATGCACCCTGAGCGTAACATCAGTCTTCGGCGGGCATGGGTGAGATACCTGAACCGCACTCTGAGTGACATTGAGAAGAATAGGGTCTACTACACGGACGCGGCTCGCACGACAAATGGACACACAGCGGTGGTCATTAGCGGCACTCATGAGATCGTACGTGTGGCCTCAATGTCTTCCTCATCTTCAGCCACCAATTCGGGCGAGATTATGGCAGTTACCTTGGCGATACAACACATCTTGTGCCTCCGGCGGAACCATACTACATACTAATCGATTCGCAAGTGGCATGTCGGGCTTTTCTAACAGGTCGCGGCATTGCAATTCTATTCTCTTACGCACATCCAAAGTTGCTTCACACAACAGCCGCATAATACACCTGCTCTGGACTCCCGGTCATACCTCACTGTCGGGTAATGAACGCACTCATGCGGCTGCTCAAGAACTCGCCCTCCGAGCGGCCCCGCGCAATGAGGAGGCCAACGCAGAGCCGGGTTCCACACTTCTCACATATCACGAAGTCACACATTTTATACGCCAACGACAGCAATACCAACTCCCACCAGACCCATTCACACGCGAGGAGGCTGTCGCACTTCGCCAACTGCAGACCTGAACTTTTCCGAACCTCCACTTCATGAATAAAATATACACGACTCGCTATACTGATGCCTGTCCAGGCTGTGGTGCTATCCCCACAACTTTTCACGTTACCGTAGAGTGCTCCGCCGCTTACTTCCCTCCCCTCCCTTTAATCCTTCGGTCCACCTGTACCCCAGAGCAATGGGAAAGCACCCTTCGCGGTGGCGGCCCAGAGGTCTGCCGGGCCCTCATTCTCAAGGCCTGGGCTTTCGCAAAGGTTACCAATGTGGTCCTGGAATAGGACCCCCCCCCCCCCTTTTTCTTTAAATTTTCATAATAAAATGTTTTCATCATCATCATCCACTCAGGCGGAATCCACGAATGTCTAATGGAGTGGTCAACTATTGCAAGTAAATCCTGAGGTGATAGTTTATGGATTATTTTTATTACCGATGCAGTTATTCCATCAGGACCTGAAGCAGAATTGGGCAATATTCTCACTACTTGTGCTAATTCCAACACTGTAATTTCTTGAAAGTCATCGCTTTTAGTAGGACACCGTGAGTGGTAAAAGGAAGCAGCCGTCAAGTAGCTTACCAAACCTTGAGCAATATTTTCCAGAAAAGTAGGCAACTCACTTGGGGTTGAGACTATTGATTCGAGGTTTTTTGGTGGTAAGTTAACTTTTTTGGCTTTAAGGAACTTGAAAAGTGATTTCCCGTGGCCAGGCTTTGAAAGAAACTTGGAACGTTGACTATCATAATTATCCTTCGTAGCGGCAACTGTTCACTTAAAAACTGCAGCAGTGTATTTATAATCGACGCAGTTTCTAGGGCCCTGATTATAGAGCAGTTTCCGCCACGCCGCTTTTTAGCCTGTAATGACGTGAACAATCAGAGTTCCACCAATGATAAAGGACATTGTTTAGAGACCTGAACCGTGAACTGCCTCTGCGCCAACATCTCCTTATATATCATATCAATAAAAAAAAAAAGCATGTTAAGCTACTTTAGCAACGAAATCCCACAAACGCTTTCCACTCGTATCTGTTCTGATTTCCCATGAAGTGTGATGAGAATTAAAGTCTCCTATCAATAATATTTCTTTTCTGTAAGACGAAATTACGGTATATAAAACACAAATTTTGAACACCTGATGGAAAATATGCGTTTACTAACGAAAAGGGAAGGTATCTTGGAAGAGAGATACCTAATGCTAAAAATTTCACTTTCTAAATTTATCATTTGACCTGTAACTTTTTTACCTGATCAGCAATTTTCGAAGAGAAAAACACAGCTAAACCACTACCTCGAGAGGGGCGATCTAAGCGAAATGTTCGGTAGTTTTAAAGATGAAACCTTTTATCTATCTATAGCCAAGTTTCTTGCAACACTATAACATCTGGGGAATGCTGATTACAAAGGCAAAATAAATCAGTAGTTGCGGAAAAAATTGACTAGCAATTCCACTGAAAAATTGTTAATCCACCTATTTTGAGGATATATCAGCAGCATTCACTGCCTTCTGCAATAAGCAATCTTTCAAAAATCCTCTTTTGATGATATTTCTTTCTAATACTTTTTACTTTTTTCTTTAGAACTCACTGGAGATCCATGTTCTCGAGGCGACACCTGCCGTTTTATTTATTTTTAGTCTAATTCTATTTATGAGTCCTGCGAACCTGAATCTGGGCTTCAATCCAAATGTTCAATGGGGATTATTCTACGGCCGCTGTCCGACGGACCAGCTCTCAATGAATATAACTCTTCAACAGGTGCTGCTATTGAGTGGCTGGATTTATAAGGTCCTGTTTCTAGAGATCCTGTTTTGACCTCTTTTGCTGAAGAAAGCATAGAGGCTGCATCTGGATGACTAACATTCATAAGGACTTGAGCGATTTGTGCATTTACTATTTGAGCAAATGACTCCATCAGAGTCACAAAAAGATTCTCCAATAGCTTTGTCATTGTTTTTTTAACAGTCAAGGCTATGACTTTTGAGAGTATTGACTCCCATGACATGGTTATTGCGTATCGCAGCAACAGCGTACCCACGAAAGCGCTCTGTAATGGCCATTCGAGCTTCGCCTCTGGAACTACGTTTTCGGTCGATTATTTCCATAATCTGGATCTCCTGAGCTCTCGTAAGGCATGTGCCGTCATCAGATGGGTGAGGGCCACAGCAGAGACAGCAAGACCTTTCCTGAGCTGTGCATTCTTTAGAGTCATGTTGTCCTGCACACATTTGACACCGCTCTACTGATTGGCAACCCTTTAGGCTATGCCTGAAACACCAGCATTTATAGCACTGCAGTGGACGAGGAGATAGTGCTTCGACCCGATATATCAGTCGCCACCTTTTGATTTCGCTTTCAAAAAAACGCTTATTGAACCTGATGACAAGATTTCAGCATGAAATTTCAAAATGAAACACTTACAATTTCTCTTTTATCAACGAACCAGTTTGGGTGAAATGACAAAATTAGAACTCTGCATATCATTTGTCAATATAAATTTATTCATTGTTTCAATGTAGTCCAATTAGGAGTCCTTCCAATACTGAAACGTGCTTCCAAGTGACTGTTGCTCAGTCGTTAAGTTAGCCTAGTTGATTGTATAGTATAAATCTGTTTTAAATAACGCAGAAGGTTGTTATTTCTTTTACGATATTTGTGTTTAGCAAAAAGCTTGCACACTCTAGAGTTTGTGTGAGAAATTTGAGGGTGTAATCACCTATACGTTTTTATCAGTTTCATCATAAAACCATTTATTCACGAAGTGCTTGCAGGCCAATAGAAAACACACCAGCAATCGTGCAGGAAGGAAATGAAGTATTTATTCAAAAATCTACAACAGCGGGATCTAAAAAAAATCAATAAATATAGTATTCTGTTCGTTTGCATTTACATGAATGATATTTCGAAGTTTCATTCCTTCCTTGCATCCCATTTTGCACAGTTGGCATTGTTTTATTGTATTTTTTTACACAAAGAAGAGACAACGGGCAGACAGAAGGAAACACAGAGGTGGAAACAAAATCAAACAAACTCGCAACAAAAGCTTTTTCCCTGAAACAATTGTGTGCGGCTTCTTTGATTGCATCCACACAACATTCTTTGTCTAAAGAGGAATTGCGAGTTGTGTGCTGTACAGAGATGTGCACATGTTGAAACAAAAAAACAATGTTCTGCACTTCAAGACGGTGGAAGAAAAATATCAAATATCAACAATAACACAGAAAAATACAAACTACCGCATACACTTATAATACACAGCAGAACATTTCCAAAGTGCTTCTGTTCGTCAGGCTGCACTGCATCACAACCTTCACTCACTGTTTTATAGTTTTTCTCTCTCTCTCATCTCTAGATTAGCAGCAACTAAAACCTACGTAAAAGGCAACCAGCACACACTGCCTAGTGTTATCATACACCGAGCCCCAGGAAAAGAAAATACATTGATACGCACTCTAAAAATAAGCGTACACTCTTTGGAGGGTGTAGCTTGCCCCCCCCCCCCCCCCATGCCCCCCTAAACAATGAACGTCTTGCTCGTGCTTCGATTCTGGCAGACGCAGCAGTCCCTACTTTCCTGTTGAGAATCCTACATCATGCTGGTAAGCGAGGACGACAATTCACGATCTCAAAGAGCCGAGGAATGCTGCGTTTAAGAAAAGATGCACAAGATAGGCAACCATTGTTTAGGCACCCCCCTCCCAAAGGTGCACGCCTGTCTCGCTGTGAACACTCCACCCAATTTCCAATGCTTTCTCAGCCGCTCAGTGTCACGTGCTATGAGTACTGCTTGTTTTCAAGCCGTTGAGAAGCATACACGTGCAGCCGAGTCTTCGTCAAGTACAGCTTTTGCGAGCTGCTTTCAGTGGCTTGTCCTTGCTACTCAAAGGCCTGCCGCAGAATTCTAGCTTAGATGAAAAGGCTAGTGACATTAAATGAATTTTTAAAAATTGATTAATATGATTTATATAAATTGCCTGACGCCTAGTCAAACCAAGTTGCAACAAACATGCCAGCAAGTCCGAACAGTTTGAAACGTCCTGCAACTTCTATAAATAAACTTGCCTGACACAAAACCTTCTGTAATGAGTTCACGTCATATGTTTGTTACAAAAGATATATATTCCTCATAAAAACCAAAATTGGATATGGGCAGCAATTTCTATCTGTGTCCTGAAGCTTTTTATTATGTCACTAAGAATGGCGTTCTCCACATGCGAGATTGCGCAGCCCCACTTCGGCCAGACCTTCAATCAGTGTGAACAGAGTGCACATGCAGCACATCCACACGATAAAGTGCACGTGAAAGAAATTACTTAGCAATGAGAAACATTCTCCTAATGCTGCACTTGTGGTACTGACACGAATGCAATAATCGAAACATTTATTTTACACCAGTTGGCAAGTTTCAAATCTTCAACGTAAAGAAAAAGAATTACTTATCCGCCTCAAACTGTACTTCAAAGAAGTCACAAACCAAGTCGCGATCCAACTGAACCATTCAGGCAGAGAAAGTTCAAAGGCATAATAAAAACTTTATAAGTGGCGATGCTTGAATGACAAATGAAACTCTGCATTCCCAAGCGGCACAGGAGACTTGATGTGAAAGCGCTTCTCGGCCTAGTGGCTTGAGACTAGACAGTGCTGCCACCTTTCTTTTTGTTCTTGCTTCTAGTTTTATGCACAGAGCAGCTTATTGTACATGCCCCCTCACTGAGGGCCTACATCGCCTGTAGGCAAGCGGGCGCAAATATATTATACATGCTTGCTGATGGAAAAGGCGCTCTTATTTGCTTCCCTGCATCCACTCTTGCGTTGTTACATCAACACAGCCAAGTGCGCAAAACAAAGAGGAGGCCAGTTAAAGTCCTGCGAGCGGGACTCTCTCATGCAACGTGGTGTAGCGCGGCAAGAAAAAGACAAGGTCTCAATCTCCGAAGGAATACATGGAAGACAGCATCTTCGCTGTGTGACATTGTGCTAGGCGGCCAAGCGTTGCTCGCAGCAGGGAGACACTCCCCTACCAATAGCGGGCACGGCTAGCGTCGGAGTGCGAGTTGACATGTTGAGATATAACGATGAAAGAAAAAACAAAACGATCACATTCGAGGCAGCCTATAATCACAACACAGGTGATAACAACTCGAAAGCCCAGCAAAACTCACAGACAAAATAACTAGAACAATGCGAGCCAAAGAGACGCACATGTACACGCACAACACATTTTTTTTAGTAACGGAAGACACACCTAAAGCCCCAGCAAAGAGAAAAAGGGGGCAACGAGCACGAAAATTCCAGAGCCAAGAAGACGACGAGAAACAGAGCAGATGCAGAAGTGAACTCCCAACGTCATCCTCGCCAACATTACACGCGACATCAGCAGCGGGGTGGGGGCGGGAGAGCGCCAGGAGAAGTGGCACCTAGCACACGCTCGAAAGAGCGGCACCTTTTCGACGGCGCACCAAAAATGAGCCGATGTCAGGTAGGTGGTCATTTTGTCCAGTACCCGGGAAGGAAAAAGACAGCTACGGTATTTGCAAGGAGGAATCAAACTAAACTACCATAAGATGCGACCGGGTATAGCAATAGAGGAAAAAAAAAGAAACAGTTTGGCAGGTTCATCACAGGAGGCAAATATCGACTGGTATTGCGTGCGAGTGCCTCCTCGTCAAGCAAACATTCCGCGAGAGGTGTTAAGTCTAGTATTTACATGCTACAGCAGGCACAAAGCAATGGTGTTGCACGCACCTGTTTTTCAACAGAACCTTATCCAGGAATAGGCGAACTGCAAGCTGCCAATGCCAAGCCAGACGCAAAATGTTTGAAGGCATTCATCTGGTCGTGACACCTTCCTTGCACAACTGTGCCACCCGATCAAAAAGGGGCGGGAGTCACGGTCGACGGGAAAGGGCAACAAGGAGCCAGAGCATTGCTAGACCAGTCCTTTCTGCCAAAAGAACAATGCACAGCAGAAAAAGGCAGTGCAAGGGAGTGCGGCAGGACACGGGGTCGGAGGCAGGGGGGGGGGGGGGGGGGGCAAAAAAACTATATATGGCAAAAAAACCGGGATGTGGTCACAACGGGGAAGAGAGAGAACAGTGTCCACGTGTCAGCCTGCACGCGGAAGAGTCAGTGTAAAATAATCTATAAACAAGAAGGAGAAGGCAACAAGGGAGAGTTATACCAGAACGGGAGTCCAGCGCCGATATAGTAGAACGTGCCACAAGTGCGTTGTGACGCGCGCACACAAGCCAACATGTTTCCGTGCACATGCACAAATGGCAAGCACTCGAGCCTAGTCACGACTGAATTCGCGGTCCACATAACTCTCCGATACCGCGCAGGGGCAGTAGGTGTGGGAAGGGGCACCTTGGTGAAGTACAGACATCGCGAGAGGTCCGTTCTCGGGAACCAGCAACTGGTGGCAGCAGCTGCTTTTTCGGCGGCCGCTCGGCAAGGAGGCCAGAACGGGCAGAGCCAAAACGTCCTCGAGCCACCTGGGGCCTTGTGATGCACCCAACAAACGTGAGGCCGCCCGGGTGTGGCACTGGAACTCTGCGTGGAGCAAGTGTGCAAGAATAAGTGTAGCACTCGGGCACTTCCTACCAACAGTACACACTTGCATAAACATTTAAACAGTGCCCTGCAACACATTTAGAGCACGGTCAGAAAACGGTGACAATCTGTTGTCGAAGCTCCCAAGAACATGTGAGCTAAACATTAGAGCACAGCATGGGGCCTGGAATTTACAACAGATTCTCTAAAGTGCCAACGCGTATGCTCGCGTCTACGCGTCAAAAGCGTCAAATGCGCCTCTCGGCGTCGGCTTCGGAGGGGCATACGCGAGCAGGCGCGAGGGATCAAGCCGGGCTTGATATTTCGCCTCCCGTACGCTACGTCCACATGCCTACAGCGGCGCCAACCAACCAGAGGCCGCGATGACTCCGAATGCTGTGCCTAATGGTCGCCGCTTCGAAGGCACAGCCGAGTGCTGAAAGCAAGCATGAAAACTACTCCAAACGTTCCTGAATGACCGCTTCGTAATCTATAACGACAATGAAACGACGAACGACTGCGAGTGCTACCAGTGTGACGTGGTTTCGTGCCAAGTTCGAGCGACACCGACAAATCCAGCGAATGCCGGCCGGCTATGCTAGCACCCAGTCCCGTGTGCGATCGTCGGCCGAGCGAAAGGAGCATGTTGGTGTTCTTGTGCTTTGATCTGTGTATTTCTGTGCTAAAAACGAGTGTAAACAGACTTCGGAGGTTCGAAGGTTTGAGCATGAGCCCTCGCCTACCGCGGAGGCAATCAGATCGGTGTCATCTGCATCCAGCGCAGGCCTCTACCATCTAGTTCGTATGAACCAGCACATGTGAGGCACATCGGCTGAAAAAACTCTACGGTAGTTTCCGTCGCAACATAGACGCCATATACGACGCCCGAAATATCGCATAGTTCATACGGAGGAGTTTTTACCTGCACTGTGTTTGTTTTCAACATCGGTATTCATCATCGCTGAAAGCGAACCTCGCACTAGCCAACACATTTCCGTGATGTGAAAACGTAGGTACTTATATAAGTGTATTCGCGAATTGTATGACGCGGAAACGTTCGTTGGCTTCGGTTATAATCGTTTTCGTGTGTTGCCAAGATAATAACAAGCGTGCGCTGGTTGGTAGCAGTGAGATGTGACTTCGTGTCGGGTACCAGCGACGCTGACACATTGAGCTGTCAGCGGTCTCATTTCCATTCACGTACAAGACAGAAACTCGAGCGTGCGTTGCTGTGGTGATCGAAAAAGAAAGTTGCATGATTAAGTGCTGCTGGTATTGCCTGCTATTTCACTTCTCGCTTCTTCTGCTTCTCTGCCACGCTCAGTAGCACATACGTTGTTTGGAGGCATTCTAACACACACATTCTTAATTTATAGTTCATTCTGATACTCATAGCTATAGGCATACAATGGCGCTTTTCCGTTGTTTTACAGTTTACTACAACATAACGCACGTTCTGTTTACAGCTGGACAGATAACTGAAAACCTTGTGAGAAGCACCTGATTTGAAATCAGCTGCACGATGACACGATTGTTGGAAGAGAAGATCACCACATGTATGCACAGAATGAATGAAGGTGCACTAGTATGGTACTGCACTTTGTGTAGAAGAAATGCAAAAAGTACCTCATGTGACTTATGAGACCTTTCAGAGCTGTGCATGTATTTATCTGTTCCTCCAGACTGTAATGAGCTGAAGATATTCGATGGTTCCGAACATTGAATATTTGCATGTGTTTCCAAGGAGTCCTTCATTTCTGTTCAGTTTTTTAGTATATGCATTAACTTGGATTATATATACGCATGCACTTAAGCATATTCAGTTTAGTTCTGTTGGAAAACTTGCCAAAACTTCTGTACAGTGCTCTGGTGCAATCGTTTGATCGGTATCTGTCCCACCAAAAATTTTTGGCATGCTTTATTGCATTATAGGGTATTTTGACAATTGATGACATGTGAAAGCCACAGTGCTTGGCTGTAATCTCAAAACCAATGTTTGTCTCATCAAGAAGTGTCAGATGCATTTTGTAGATGTTAAAGGATATTTAAACTACCAGCAAAGTGCTGAAGTTTTCAACACAGCACTGATCCGCAATCACCACCCAGCTTAGAAGTCATTTGTAGAGCTCTCTAACCTGTTCAAATAAAGTTATCAAACACTGGATTGATCTACTTGGTTTGATTCCTAATACCAGTGCGTCTTACTTTTTGGAGGCACTTGTATTATAATAATGTCCTATTTCTCTCATTTATTACAGGGGTGCACTCAAGGGTAGTGATATTTGTTTACCTTGGCACACTTAATGTGATATTACTATTTAAATCCTTTCATTTTGTATATATGTACGCCACTTTTGCAGAAGCCTCACAGTGAGCAGCCGTATTTGAAAATAAATAAATATACCGTCCGAAAGTGTTCCACGCTGCGCTCTGTTCCAATCTCGTCACTAATATTTCTTGCATCATGATGTGTCGGGTGTGCTTTATTGCATTGGAGAACATTTTGGCTGCCTTCCACGAAGGGTTCAGTTCCAGTATTATGACCGATATCTGTGACTTCATGAAGAGTTGGGTGTCATTTGTCGTTTTAGAGAATACTTTGACTAAAGACAACGTCCAGAAGTCTTCCATACAGGGTTCAGTTCCAATATTTATGACCGCTATCTGTGACTTCATAAACAGTTGGTTGTCGCTTGTCGTTTTAGAGACTACTTTGACTGAAGACAACGTCCAGAAATGTTGCATTAAGGTTTCAGTACTAATATTATGGCCGATATCTGCGACTTCATAAACAGTTGGGTGTCGCTTGTCGTTTTAGAGAATACTTTGACTTAAGACAACGTTCAGAAGTCTTCCATACAGGGTTCAGTTCCAATATTATGACCGCTATCTGTGACTTCATGAACAGTTGGGTGTCGTTTGTCATTTTAGAGAATACTTTGACTAAAGACAACGTCCAGAGGTCTTGCATTAAGGTTTCAGTTCTAATATTATGACTGATATATGTGACTTCATGAACAGTTGGGTGTCGTTTTAGAGAATACTTTGACTAAAGACAATGTCCAGAAGTCTTCCATACAGGGTTCTGTTCCAATATTATGACCGCTATCTGTGACTTCATGAACAGTTGGGTGTCGTTTGACATTTTAGAGAATACTTTGACTAAAGACAACGTCCAGAAGTCTTGCATTAAGGTTTCAGTTCTAATATTATGACCGATATTTGTGACTTCATAAACAGTTGGTTGTTGCTTGTCGTTTTAGAGAATACTTTGACTGAAGACAACGTCCAAAAATGTTGCATTAAGGTTTCAGTACTAATATTATGGCCGATATATGCGACTTCATAAACAGTTGGGTGTCGCTTGTCGTTTTAGAGAATACTTTGACTAAAGACAACGTCCAGAAATCTTGCATTAAGGTATCAGTTCTAATATTATGACCGATATATGCGACTTCATGAACAGTTGGGTGTCGTTTTAGAGAATACTTTGACTAAAGACAACGTCCAGAAGTCTTCCATACAGGGTTCAGTTCCAATATTATGACGGCTATCTGTGACTTCATGAACAGTTGGTTGTCGTTTGTCATTTTAGAGAATACTTTGACTAAAGACAACGTCCAGAAGTCTTGCATTAAGGTTTCAGTTCTATTATTATGACCGATATCTGTGACTACATGAACAGTTGGGTGTCGTCTGCCGTTTTATAGAATACTTTGACTAAAGACAACGTCCAGAAGGCTTGCATTAAGGTTTCAGTTCCAATATTATGACCGATATCTGTGACTTCATGAACAGCTGTGTGTCGTTTGTCGTTTTAGAGAATACTTTGACTAAAGACAACGTCCAGAAGTCTTCCATACAGGGGTCAGTTGCAAAATTATGACCGATATCTGTCACATCATGAAGTGTCAGGCACAGTTAGTTGCATTAGAGCACATTTCGACTATGGAAAATTCCCAAATGCATTCTACGCAGTATTTGGTTCCTATCTTATGGCCAATATCAGTTGTATCAATAAGAACCAGGTGTACTTTATTGCATTAGAGGATATTTCGAACACACACATCAGCCGAAAGCCTGCTACTCTGGCCTGAATTGTAGTCTTATGACTGACTTAAATCTGTCAGATCACGAAGTTGCAGGCGTGATTATTAAGTTGACTGATGTAAAATATGTTGTGTAAAAATACTGAAGGTACCAGCATATGCAAGATATTGTTAGTAACTTTGGTAGTGCAAGTATAGAAACCCGGTGGTTTGTAAACCTGATCAGGAGGGCAGCCACGCCTCATTCACCGCAGAGAGGAGGGGGGGGGGGGGGGGAGCTCAATGTCAACTCCACATATTAACATAATAGGGAGGGGGTGCTAAGTCAGCCCTGGGGAGGGGCACTGGGACAAACTTTTGCCCCCCCCCCCCCCTCCTTAAGGAGAACCCTGCACACGCCTATGATAGACGTACAGTATGTTAGACGCGAATGTTCATTCGCGGGAGCGGCGCACGCACCGATGTTGATTTCTGGTGCATACCGCTGTAGTTACTTTGGGCACTGAAATGTCAATTACTTTTAAAATAGTCTAAACTGTGGTGGTTGAAGCACTATCAACTTCTTAACGTGTTCTCATATCCTCTAAAACATACATTCCCGCTCCAGTTGAGAACGTGCCGTTCTGTGCTGAACTTGGACAGTTCTAAGCCAAAAGATCAAGCAACATTGTGCATCGGCCTTAGACGCGTGGGCGTGAACGCGGTCGATGCGTGCCAGTAGTTGCGCGCCCTTTTCCTCCACAGGCGCGACTAGACGCTTTTGACGCGTACGCGCGTGCATACGCGTGCCAGTGGTTGGCACTTAAGTCAGCTAAAAATCGCTCCTCCTCCCCACAAATGATGCCAAATATGCCAGTCCGCAGCCACTGGCTGATTAGAGCACAGTGGGGGTTACCATGGACGCACTCGTGATCACACTGAAAGTGATTCAGTGAGCCGTGCCAACAGTTC